ATATGAATTAATAATTATATATGGCACTATAATTGATAAAATAATGAATTGCCTACATCCTCACTTATTTTCCTCTATTCTCAAGGTCTGTATAGCCACCTATCCTACTCAGTATTGTCTTTTAATAACGCTGTTTGGGTTTATTTGTATTTCTACACTCGATCTTAGCCAAAAGGCTGAGAAGTGGTATATATGTATTTCTGAAGTCAGTCTGGGATTATCTAAAACTCTCCTACTCAGTTATCACAATGAGTAGAAAGAATTGTTCTTTATTTGTAATTCTTTGCCATTGTTGATGTCTAATTCTTTTAAATAACTTAACTAGCTCGTGTTAGACCTGAAATTTTAAACGCTTAAAGTTTTTAAAGTCAGATTTCAATTAATTATAACAACTGTTTCCTTCTTTCAATAATTTTTCCTACTTTAAGTTTTAATTGCATGTATTCTTCCTCAGTGCATATTTCCTTCCACAGAAATTATTAGTGTTTACCAAATAATAATAAATGCAATCAACCTTTTAACATAATTTTCATAATGTTTCATAACAAATCCTTACATCTTAACAGTGTTTTACAGATTACAGAGCACAGTCCTTTCACTCAATCATCTCACAAGCCTCAGGAATAGACAAAATAGTCATTAACTCAATTTTAATCATGAATATATAAAAGTTTAGCAAAATAGAATGAGGTATTGGGCTCAGCAAAAACAAGCTTGCGTGAAGCCTCTGACCTAAATTTTGTGACCACAGACCAGGGTAATTTTTAGTACGCAGCACTGATACTAAGAAGGTGACATTCCATGATAATTTGCAAATGACTGTTGATGTTAATAAAGAGTTCATATTCACACAATAAAAATAAAAAGTGTCAATTACATAAATCAGTAAATCATTTTCTGCTAGCTACCATAATCCTTTTCCTAATATACATTATATTAAAAAAATAAAATACTCTTCCTTTAGTCATTACCAGATTTTCTTGGAAAATTATAATTATATACTGATGTTAGATGATATTAGTCTTATTTTTATTAAGGTTGATGAGGACATACTTTGCATTATCTCCTAAACACACATACACACATGCACTCACACACACACACATACATACACACTCAGAAGCACGTATCCTTTTCAATTAAATCTGAGCCAGTAGCATTTATCATTACAATGAAAAAGTGTCAGAACATCACAATATATTAAGGACATTTTGTTTGAAAAAGTATCTATGGAGTTATGAACTATAGTGTTTGCATAATTGTAGCCTCAGACACTTTCCATTTGGTCCAGAGGTGATTCCATTTTGAAAAAAAACAGCATTGAATTATATTCATAATGCAAATGCTATTAGTTCATTCTTATTCTTTATTACATCTAGATGGCTAATATGATAATACTACCTTTCCTTGCTAAACTTTCATATACTATCATATATCACACAATATACATTATTAGTGATTAAAAGTAACTGACTGCATATGTATGATCAAAAAATATAAATTAACAGAAAATGAATTGACTTCTCTATTACCATATATATTCCATCTGTCTCCTGCCATCTCTTTCCAAAAATGGTTAAAAAAGTAAGTTGAATCTTTAATCAACTATAATTATATTAACACTAAGTAAACCCTTAAATGATTATTTCAAAAAACAAGAATGGTAATTACAACAGATTCTAATTCAATATATGTCAAGTTCAAATTGAAAATGTAAAGATTAATATTTATAGCTGATGCTTAAACACTTTAAAATACTGAATTTGTTTTGCCCCTTGCAATATATTTAACAGTTTAAGTTATTTTAGATTTTATATTTGAATGTAAATGCTGACACTGTATTAGCTTTTGCATTTTTTAAGTATGTGAGTCATATCACAAATACTACTCATATCATGTACAACTATTCCATCTGCTTGAGAATAATTGCACATCCCTGCTCATCATCCAATGCAGTAAATGTAACTGTGCATGAAGTTAAAATAATTTAAAACCTTCTCAGAGGGCAGAGTGTAAAAGCAGCTATCGTCACTTAAACACTCTTACTTCCTGTACAGATCTTGTTATCAAACCCCAACTGCAGACAGCCTTATGGAGCCTCATGGAAAAAACAAAAAAAAACTTTATTATGTTTACATAATAACTCCTTGTAGAAAATCTACACACTCCCTACAATTGGCTTTTTTTTTTTTTTTTTTTTTTTTTTTTTTTTAGTCCTTGGACTTGCAAGGCAGGCAGTGGCACCACTGAGCTAAATCCCCAGCTGGCTAATGTTTTGGTAATGTCTCTTTTGTAATTTGGGTCTGTTGCTGATCTTGAAATATTAAGTCAAGATGCTAATTATGACTTAATCTGTGACAGTACACTTTCTTGGTAAGATTTAGGTTCCTTATTGTATACTGATTTATAATTATGCAAAAATAACAATCCACAGTTGGGGTTGCAGAGCAGTTCTGTGACATGAAAAATAAGAAATGAAATGCAATTAATTTAAAAAAATACATTTTCAAAATGCACAATAAATACATCTTGGTACCTCTGTATAGATTAAATAGACAATATTTGAATTTACTGGTTTTCTAAACTATTATTTGAACTTACACTTGTTATGCTATGTTTCTTGATAATATAATATCCTTTTTTACTAGTACTTTCAAATATTTTATATGAAATCACTTACTTGTGCACCCATATTTATAAGATAAAGCACAAATTCCTTTCAAGTAATTGTTTTATGTTCTGTTCATTCATACTATCTATTACCATGAGGTCACTTTTTATAAAATAACTTAAGAACTAGTGTTTTGATAAGCATCAGCAAATGTTAGTGAGAAAAAATGGGTAGTGGTTGGTAATTATCGGGGAGGTCTAAATATTCACAATATGGTTGATATCAACCTACCCAAACAGAATTACCATAAGTGGACATGGAAAGAGATATACATGAATAAATCTTGAAAGCTGGTTCTGACTGCTTCTCAACTAAATGATTATTTGGAAAATCACAATTACGTTTAAGATGATTTCATCAGTCAACTGATCTGATCTCTTTCTTTTCATGTTAAATTTTAAACGAGAAAGGAAAGTTAAAATCAAATTTTAAAAGATCACCTCTACTGCAAATAATTCTAAAGTACTTTGTATGAATTCTATTGTGGTAATGACTTTCGGCCACCTCATGCAAGTATTGAATCAAGTTCAATACTATATTGCAATATTTTATACATAAGTAACAATTGAACAGATGCCACAATTTCTAACGAGAATCTGTCTTTTCTCAATCTACTACTGGAAAATATGAAAATAAATTAAAAAGAGAATATGCATACATGTTAAAAACAACAAATAATATGGTGTATGATATGACTTGCCTTTTCTACAGTATTCCCAAACCTTTATGCAGTTCTATATTCAACAATCAGCATTTTTGAAACCATAATTTAAATGTACTAAACTATTTTATCTTCTTTTAGACAACAAGGGAATTATTACAAAACTCTTTTCTCAGCACCTCGCTGATTTAGCATCTGTATAATTCCCAAACCAGAGCTTGATTTTATTGAACTGGGTAAGTGTACTACTTTTTATATGGAAAACTTGCTCATGTGACTAAATGATATAAAGTTTCTTTTACTCTACTCTGTTGTAAAATTACTTATATATACATATTCATAGAGCAAGAAGCATATCTATCTGGACATGAAACATCTAGAAAACGTTATTTGAATTAAAGGACTGAAAATAGTCAAATTTATTGATTTATTTATTTTTATGAAGCTAAAGGCCACTTTCACATACTGCATTTCTAAAGAGGGACTTTTAGTTCACATAATCCTGTGTAGCTTCTCTTTATGTAATCAGCTTATTTATATTCTGGTTCCAGAGATTCCTTTTAGAAAGAAATACTTAAAGAACACAATTTCCTACACAGCGTTTGTTATCTGTAGATTTGTTTGGATCCCAAGAATGAATTATTTTTTTAAAGGAGAATGTAAGGGAAAAATGAATTCATTCTACTTGATTATAAGCACATTAAACAAGTATTAATCTCAATAAAAGTAATTAGAAATATCGTTTTGATTAAAAAAATGTCTTACACTGAGATATTTATCTCAAATTAAGCACAAGTGGTTACTTGCAATAACTCTATTCACTTTGGCACATTTAAACCACAAGAGAAACTATACAACACTTGGTTAGTTCTTAAGGGAAACATTTGCATTAGAATTTAAAGATAGGTTCGAAATTTCTGTTACATTGTTTAAAAATCCACTCTTTTACTTAATATGTTTACAGTGAAATAGACTGGTAAACCGATACTTGAACATCTTTGGAACGTACAGAACTTGACCATGGAAAATAAAGATTGCATTACAGAAAATCCCAATTCCCTAAAGCCTTTCTAAAACACAAATACTATATTCCAGTGGATTGTACGTTATAGTGGCTCAGATGAACAATTTGTATGTCCTTGTGGCTGTGCTCCTCTTTGACATGTGAACTGTTACAGGGCTCAATTGTTGTTTGATTATATCTCCATTCCATGCTTCATCTCCTTCATGTAGCTCAGGCTGGAGAAAAACCAGCAGGTTCAGATGAAATTCAAGCTATGAGGCAGGAAGATGGACCTGAATCTAGTGGAGATTGGAGCTCCAAAATAAATATAACACCATGTGTCAAATAAAAAAAGAAAAGGTATTCTCCTGTACAAATCAGAAGAGATAATAAAAAAGTAATGAATAGACAGCAACTTCTTTTGAAAATCATACCTACACAAGCATCACAAAGCTATTACCAACTTGAAGAATCATCTACCTTTTTCTTGTTTGGAATATTTTATAAGTTATCGGTAAACAATGGCTTTCGTTATTTTACATCAAATTTATTGGCTTTTATTGCAGTGTTTTCATTTGGTAAAGATATTCTGATAATTTATATATTGCTAAATAAAATATTTCTTCTAATGAACAGCAATCAAATTCTGCTGAAATCTATCATATTAGTAAGCTAAAAGCATTTCCATAAATTAAATTTGTGCCAAGTTTTGAAATGTCAGAAATTTCAGGGTTTTTTGATGGCACATTCTTCTTACAGAAATAATTTGATTCCTCTCACTGACAGTACCATGAAAGCATGTCCAGGGCATCGTTGGTTCACGACAACACAGGACACTATTTGCTCAAGAAGGTTAGGTGCCTTTGCAGGTATATTAGAGTTGCTATCTATTCACAAACTACTGAGCATTTATTTGTATTAAAAAACCTTCAAATGCTCAGAGTCTGTGGTCAGTGCAGTCCCTTGGGTAAGTCTAATGAAGATATGCTTCACCAAGGCAGAAACCTAAATAGTTAAAAATGGAGACATATTTACAACCAGTTTCATCCAACTCATGGAGTTCTTGATTTTTGTATGTAGTGTGTTGTTGTTTTTGTTTTTTGATGTTACTCTTTCTTCAGTACATTTCAAATTAAGGTTCTAGGGCTATGAGTACAAACTCTCTTGGCCAGTTCCATACATGTCTGCGAGTCGTTTAAAGCGAGGTCCCCAGTCACTCAGGTAGTCATAATTCTGGTCAGAGTTTGAGCTGATCGAATCTAAAGAGCTGAGTGATTCCGCAACTGAGCCATTTCCTTCAAAAGCGTAGGTCTGCAAAGAGTCATATGGGGGAGCACCCGGATCAATGTCGGCTTCTTTCAGTCTTTCCCAAATAAATTCCCGAAAAATGACATTATCTGGGATGCTTTTAAAAGTCGGTCGACTTAAAAACTGAATCTCTGGGGTCACATCCCTCCGGGTCTTGGTATCTCTGATGACATTTAGGTTTCTCAGTGCGGCCATGTCGAATGCTTCAGTGTCTTCCTCTCCCCCACCTTCGTCATCGTATCTAACGATATTTTCTCTGATATCTCTTTCTTCATCAAAAATGAGAGGCTCTTTTTTCCGTCTTCTCATGGTGACAATGAGGAGGATCAACACTAAAACAATAAAACACAGAAGGGAGAATTTCAGTAAAATCACTGTCTCTCGTGACAGTGACATTATCTCTATGATTTTGATTCGCATATTTTCTTGCCTTTACAAGGAAATGTATTTGCTTTCTACTTACATGGGTTTTCACAGCACTGAATGCACTCAAATTGCTAAAAGGGGTTTAAAATAGAACACTTTTAAAGATCAAGAAACACTTTTCGACACCTGTTCAGGATTGATGTCTTGCCCTAACCTCCAAAGTATTTAATAGAACAAACTGAAGAGCCAGCTCAGGATAAATATAATAATTTCAAAGACACATAGCATGAAGGAATTTTTTGAAAGCCCTAATTGATGGAAAAGCAAAGTGACATTCATAATGTTTCGTGTCTAATTCAACCACTGTAATTTCAGAAGAAAATGGATTACAGTATTTCTTCAGGTTCTTTGAAGATATGTCTAGTTCTTGTCTATGAAATTCAGCTGTTAAATAAAATCCAGCATGTCAGACCATATACAAAGACCCAAAGCTTCCCTATAATGAATTGAGTTGCACTTTCATGTGTGAAATTCTGAACTTCAGTTTCGTGCATTTTACCTAGAAACAGAATATAGTTGGTAAGATTTCCCACATTAATCAAAGTCAGATTTAAGAAATATACCACCCGCATAACATTAGGAATTTTTTCTGCATAAAAACTGATATCAAATCATTAAACATGAGTTTGCCCTGAGAAAATGGAGACAGCTATATCATATATTTTTTGGCCTTGCTGAACTGAATGCATTCTGTATTTTTTAAAAGTACACAATAATGATAAAGAGCCATCTCTGGCTACAAGGGACTATAATCTATCTGAATTGAGAACATCAGGTTTCAAGGCTCCCTGAAGTAAATAAAAATGAAATATAAAGAGTTCATGAATTTTTGGAATTCAAAAATATAAAAATAATGAATTATCTTTAGTATGTGTCTACAATTATTTGTATAAAGTTAAATATTTTTCAACTTTTTTTTTGCACTAGTGTAAGCTTTTGAAAGGTCTAGATGGTGTAAAATGCATATGAAAGGGATTGCTGTTGAAGCTCATTATTCTCAGTATCTTATTAAAAAAGAGGCTTGAAAGACTGAAGGTGTACGTAGCTCAGTGGCAGAGAGCTTCCATAGTATGTACGATTTTTCTTTCTATGCCTAGTATCACACAAGGCAAAAACAAATAAATAAGGTTGACAGGTAATATTTACATTTAAAGTAGCTCATACAATTTGTAATTTAGTATTAGGAAGATATATAAAGGTAAAAATAAAAAAAACATTAAAATTATAGAACATCATGGGGAGTGATGAACCCTTCTGCATGCATGTCAGATTTCTTTCAAAAATGAAAAAGCCAAGTTCTCCCAGTAATACCTCAGTTCATGGACACTTCTGTTTACCAACAATCTGGTTCTCAAGCAAAAGCATTCCACAAAATTTTGCTTCTGTTAACAAATTCCACACTGAATGACAAACAACCATGGCCATCTTACCCACAAAAACACAAACACAAACACAAGCACAACCATTTTCCCCCAAATAGTAAAACTAATTATGTTTGTGCACCGAGGTACCACTGCCAAATTTTAAATGAGATGAATTTATTAATTTCAATGAAGATTACACACTGTAAGTATTTGTCTGATTCCGGCTTTTTCTTCATTAAAAGAATATAACTGATGGGATTTTTATTAGAAATATTTGGAAAAACTTGTGAAAACTTTTGTTTTTAGTGGAACTTTCTTTTCCTTTCCTTTTTCAGCCTGGCCTACTCTTCTCTTCATAATTTTGCACTTTGTTGACAGTCAAGACCAAGAAACAGTTCTAAGTTTCTCTGTTCTTTCTCCTTGCTATGACTTTTATTACATTTCCATGCTCTCAACTGCTTTCGAGGAAAGGGCAGACATGTAGTTCAAAAGCTACTTCTTTCGTATCTTTTTGTTCCTAGTCATAGCCTGCTACTAACCTTTCTTTCTGTTAAGTTTATTATCTCTTTTTGTCTACTGATTATTAGGATTTCCAGTACTCCCAAGCTCTGTGGTTCTCAAAGTCTAGGCTAAAACACAACAGGAGGGGATGAAGTTTTTGTGTCAAGAAGGCCTAAAATAAATGTCCAGCCCTTCACATATCTTCTGGGGCAAGTAAATTTAACTGATCCTACAAGTATGTAATAAAAACCAAGGTCAATGTCCTTAGAGTAAATTAAAGTGATAAAGAGATTTTTGAAATAACATAAACAGCAGTGGTAGAATTACAAGCATTTGCAGGTGTTCAATGGAAAAAATTCTCATTGTAAATATCCATTCTGCCAAGAATATTCATTTAAATTTCTATGAAAACAGAATACAAAATACTTCATTTTCTCTAGCAAAAACACAAAGAATGAGATGACAGAATAACTACCAAATACACAATTTGATGTCTATTAAAGACCAAATAGGAGGCAGAAAAGGTGAGGTGAGAAACTATCTGCATATATTTGACCTTAACAAAAGTTCTGTGAGGCAAGTATTTTGGTGGCGGCCATAGACAAATGAAACAACCTGTCTATAGTCAATGTAACTAAGTGCAGTAACCAGGGATAAGTTATGTTCAGCTTCAGCTGGCCTTCAATGTCTTTGCACATTCTAGAGCATCCACTATATGCTTAGAAGCTGCATAGATGGTAAATGATGAAACAAACCCTATTTCTAAAAAAACAAGAGCATAGATGGCACTCACTCTAAGAAAGAGATGTCAGTCAGCTTCAGAGACATGGATAAGTAAAATACTTACTTTAGATTTATATACCACTTTAGTTTCTGAAACTTTTGACATAGTCTCCTCTAAACAAAGAAAATTCCAAAGCAAACAAAGTGAGACTATTAAGACTTCTTAGTGAGAAGTTAGAGTAAAGTGGAGACGCGAGCTATGAATAACAAAGAGAGTAGTGATGCAGTAAACAGGGAAGGGAACTAACAGTGAAAGACCTGATAGTCATATTGGACAGCAATATTGAAAGGGGGAAATGTAAATTTGAGGGAAAATATGTGTATGAAATGGATGAACACCCAAGTGGGGGAGGTTATGAAGTAAAAGTTGTGAAATAATTAAATGCTCCTCAAATTCAAATCAATATCTAGTTAGTCAAAACATTACAAAATTCTAAATTGTATCTTTGATGCTATAACAATGAACTTTGTCATATCATAGGCATTATGAGTAGTTATTTCTCATATTGCACTGTAAATATTTGCCATACTACTCACAAACTTGTCACTCTTCACTACAAGGAAAACCTGAATGATGTAAGAAAATTTTTTTCTTTTTTCTTTCTTTCTTTCTTTCTTTCTTTTATTTTCTTTTCTTTTTGGGGGGGGTATCAGGGATCAAACTTAGGATGTTGCACTTGTGAGGCAGATGGCAGAACTACAGCTAAAATCCCTGGCCTCCCCCAAAATTTCACATGATGCTAATATCCTTCGACCCTTGTACCTCATGCAACACATATCAAAGATATTAATATGTTCTGTTTTCCTTATTTTTCAATTGTTCCTGAAGAAAAGAAGAACCAGAAGTCTTTTGGAAGGTTAGATGATGTAACAGTTCAAACATGGAGAGAATATTACTGTCTAAATATTTGAGCACATAAAAAATAAATTTTAACCTTTAGATAGACAAGTATTTACTGTTCTTGTAGGCTATGAAGATGATCCTTGCATTAAAAATATTTTCTGCCTAAGTAAGTAAAAGATTTTATATTTGAGGAGTTTTTGTCATTTATCTTTTCTGTCATACTTCTGAGTGGAGACTAAACAAAATAATAGGTCTCATAGTCTGGTCATGCTGAACTTCTATTGTGCTGTTTGTTCATGATTTACACATTCATTTAGCAAAATTATATTAATTACTTATAAATACTAAGTATGGTGATAAATATAATATTGCACAGAGCATCAAATATATTTCCATGTGAAAGTTACAATTCACTGGGGGCAGAGATATTAATCAAATAGTAAAAATAAACAAATTAGAACTGTGATAATTACCCCCCCAAAAAAGGAAACGCAACCTTATAAAGATAAAAATTATATGTTAAGGGAAAGAAACATCCAGGTAAAGAAGAGTGGACTGAGGATTACTGAAGGCTGACAGCCGTAAGAGGGGTAGAAAGGAGATAGGGAAGAACATTTTTGGTGAAGGAATATGGTGATCAAATTTTGAGGCCAAATTGTCCGGAGGGAAAAGAAATAAGGTCAGACAGGTAGGCAGGGTGTGTGATCCCAGCCAGGGTCAGCTTGTTTAAAGGACGTTGTGTTCAGATATTTTAAAAATTATGTGTTTGGACTAAAGGTAGGAATTAGGGAAAAATAGATGTGAGAAAAGAAGTGAGGGAACTGTTACAAGCGAAAGTATAATGCTGACCTAAATATCTACTTTTAGAATTCAGTTTTATAATATGAAAATATTTTGTAAGTGTCTGAAATATGTAGAAAACCATGCCAGATACAATCATAACGAGAAATTGTAAGCAGGTTAAACAGTGCAGGCTATGGACTCTCAGTTAAATATAGCATAATTGTAACGCATTTCACTGTAGACAAGCATGAGTGCAGAGAAGCGTGCAGACCAGACAGTATTGCTCTCCCCAAGTAGAACAAAATACAAGAAATAAAATATGAAAAATATAGAAATTAAAAATCTGCATCATACTAGATATTTGTACGAATTTACTTACTGAAAATCTGTCACATTGTCTCTATTGGGAACTCATTTTTACTAAATTTCTATTCATCTTTATTTGCATTTGAATTTTAGTGGCTTCAAATCAGAAATAACTATCATGAAGAAACATATTCATAGTTCTGTTCAAGATCAATTTTAAACCTTTTCCACTATCCCCTACTCATTAAAAACAACACAGAAATCATTACCTGGAAACAGTTTTCTGACAATTTCCAACTAATAATTTATCTTTATCAGTACTCAC